AACACACAATGGAATCAAACTATGAACAATAAAAGACCAGACAATCCATAGAGCTCAAAGACTTAAACATAACACCCTAATGCAGAAGCAAATCAAAAGGAGGACAAACATTGTATAAACAATCTCAGCGAATTATGAAAATCAATCAGCAGAACATAGAAAAATAAGGAAAATCAATCACAAAACAAAGTAAATTAATCTGAACAAAACATAAAACAACATATTCCAACTTCAATTGCATAAAAATAAGGAAAATCAATCACAAAACAAAGTAAATTAATCTGAACAAAACATAAAACAACATATTCCAACTTCAATTGCATTAACATCTGGCAAATATATATATAACTACACATGTGGTCAACAAAAAACTTGAACATAAGTTGTGCAAAATAGAAAGTCAAGCACTCAAATATATATATATATATATATTTTAAAGCAAAAGAGTTTCTAAGGTCCATCTTAATAAGAAAAAAAGATCAATTAAAATGTCTGCTAATGTCTCCAAATTGGTACACGCATAAACCTGCAATTCTCCAAAATGAGTCCCATTTGATAGATTAATTTTAGCTTAAAGCATTTAAAATAATAAATATGAACAACTCATTAATTCAATGAAAGAAATTACAAATAAAAAATTCCTCTCAAGGATGTCCAACCAATGTTTTAAAAACCAGACCGGTGAGTGAACTGGAAAAAGGATCGGGTGGACGGGTCACTGGTTCAACCGTCGGATTGAACCGGAATCGAACCGTGACGTCATAAATATATTAAAATTATATTTAAATAAAAATATAAGTAATAAAATTATAAATTAAAAAAAAATTAAAAATATTAAATTATCTTAAATATTTCTCCTAATTTTTATAATAATATATTTTAAAATATTATTAATTTTAATTTTGGAAGAGGAAACCAAATATTTAATATTCTCTCCATATGATTTTAATTCAAATAATTTAATTGAAAGAAAAGTAAAAATTTTAGAGGGATATCAAAATTTCAAGTCTCTCTCCAATAAATTTGATTGAATCCCACATAAATTTTTTGATTTTTTTTGGAAGAATTTTTTTTCTTAAAAATAGGTAAAGATTTTCATAATAATTTTAAACTCTCAATAAGATTCTTCACAAGAGGAGACCTAGAAAGAGAGTTTATAATTTAAATTTTCTTACATATATATAAAATAAGAAAGAAAGAATAAAAAAATAATTAGAAAAGAATTTCCAATTAAAATTTTCTTATATATATATATATATATATGTAAAATAAGAAAGAAAGAAAGAAAAGAAATAAAGAAAGAAAGAATAATAAAAAAAAGAAAAAAATTCAACTTTATTGACCAAGTGAACCGCATCCGGGTCGACCGGTTCGGCGATTCAACCGCCGGTTTTTCCGGTTGTCACAAAATAGGCCTGTTTTTTGTTTCGAAAGGTTTAGTGGGTGTATACGGACTGGAATCCCAACCGGTCGATGGTTCAACCGGTCGAACCGGCCGGTCTGGTCCGGTTTTTAAAACCTTGGTCCAACTACAAGAAGGCTCATTGTATTGACCATGAAGGCAGTAAAATCTCCTTGATATATGGTTCTGTAGTCTATTAAAAAAAGAAAAAATTTTCATTTTAATATATATATATTTTCACGTAAACTGATTATTATGGGCTTTTTCATTGTATAGAACAAAAGATTATACTTATATCCGATGGTTTCTTCAGTCAAGTAATGCACGTACGCTGTCAGCTCCACGGAGTAATATTTGAATTGTTTTTACTGACAATGTTGCATGATAAGGATCAATAACTTTACCTCTAGCATTGAATGTGTATTTTGAAGCGATGGAGGTGGGAACTGACAATATGTCACATGCCATGTTGGATAATATACGATTATGACTCTAATGCATCAAAATAGATTTTTGAACCTTCATTACAAATATAAAAATTTTCGAAATAAATTTCCAAGTCAAATTTCGCAGGCTAAATGGTGTTGACTTTTCTAACAAAATATTCTACTTTGCATTTTCCCATCACAACAGTTTTTCCATTACCATGCATAGAACTATTAGAAGAATCAACTTCCTGTGCATTTAGTGAAGTAGGAATAGAAAAATACTCATCGTAGAGTTCACATAGAGCCTGACAAACCATAGAAATATTTCTAAAAGCTTCAGCCTCCGGGTAGTTCTCTAGTAAATAAAACTGAACAAGCATCATTTTGTATCTTGGATCCAAGAAAACAATCAACAAATTGCATTGACCCTAATATTTGTCAAGCTTTATCTTCATCTTCGAAGCCATTGCTTGAATGTACTCATTGTCTTCCACTGACTTTCTTTCATCCTCTAAACCTCTGTGATTCACTTCAAGAAATGATATTTGTGAACAAATTGACATACATTTTCAACTTTTACCCAATTTTCAAGGCTAGGCACGTAAACGAAACCCAAATCCCTTTCATACTAGGGAAGATATCTTTACACTCCACAGCAATAACCCTCCAGTCCATAGTGTAGGACAATCCAAAAAATTTATTTTTGAAGGTGATTGCAACTGCTTAGCAATCTACTTGAATTGAATAAGGTATGCTTCTGATGCAGCCAAATACTTTACACCTTCCTGAACACCATCAACAATATCTCCAATTTCACCAAGGTGATGATATTGTATGCACAACACACATGGAAAAGTTCACGGCCTAAAGCTAATTTCTTATTCAATGCAAAGTATTCTTTTAAGACCCTCAAAGCATTGTCTACTCAGTAGCCACCTTGTTTTCAAAGCCCCATTCAACTAAACATTTGTGAAGGGCACCAACAATGATAACACCAGTATGTGGAGGTGGTACATTGCAAAAGTTGAATGCTTTTGTAATTGCCAATCATCGTTAATAAAATGAGTTATAATTACCATATAGCGGATATTTTGCCCTGATTTCCACAAATCTGTTGTGATACTCTTTCTGTTGACTCTTCATCAATGTTTACAACATCTTCTTCTGGGTCTCATAGGTTGACACACTTCCACTTTTTCGTTGACACATGACAACTTTGTCGTTGACACACAATCACTTTGTCATTGTATGACCACGTGAAGAGCAATGGAGATCCCTTTTTTCTCCAGAGGAATTTCACTAAAACATTATAGTACCAGGAAACCTCATTAGATTTCTTCTAAAAAGTTGAAATTGACTATTCAACTAATATTATTCATACATTTATCACTACTTTTTTTATTTTTTATTTTTTATTTTTAGAGGAAACATCTGATACAAGGCCTGTTTCTCCAATTAATCTAATCAACTTCCTCTCAGATTAGGAAAAGACAAGTGTTTGATGAAGGAAAATAACTAAACAGTCAAGAATTATTGTGTTTAGACTCAAACCTTGAAGATGAGATTATTGTGTTAACAATATCTGCTTTAAGGCTGTGTATCGGTCAAGGATTTGTGGAGGGAAAGAAAAAAGGAAGGGAAATGTGAATGAAATATAAGCTTTTTATATATATTTTTTATTTTTTATTCCCTTCTCTTTTCGCTTCTCTTTTTCTTTCCCTCCACAAATTCCCACTCAAACCTTGATCCAAACACAGCTTGAGGATCGCAGGCATTATACCAAAATTTTAAGCTTAAAACAAATTTATGTTTCTCTTGAAAGAAAAAGATACACTGTCTGATCCACTTAAATTCTTTTCATATTACAGGACAGATATCTGAAATGATTGAATGCAATGTAAAAATTAACGATATGATTCTTTGCAAATTGTAAAGAAGCACATATTGTTTTCGAGAGTACCAGTAACCAGAGAAAACAGATGGGAGCAACTTAGTCAATTGTCCACTGTTTTCTGACAATAATAAATATAAATTACCTAATCCCATGTACAACAATTCCATTAAATCTCAGTAACTTTTACTCACAACTGGAGTTATTTCATTTGTTGTAATTCTCCAAGTTTGACACTGAAATCCTTCTCTCTTCTGGCATTTTGATCATTGGGTGGCTGTTAAAAGATGGGGAATTAATCATGAATTCAATTATGGAGCTAAACAATCCTGTATTAAATAGTGTCCTAAAGAGGTACTTGAAATTTGAATAGCCTCCAATTATTTCTAATGTATTTAACTGTGTGGTGTTTGGTAACCATTGACTTTGGAAAAATATGAAAGTATGTATCATAAACTTTGCATGTGGCTAAGCAGGGAAAAACCAAAAAAAAAAAGGAAAAAGCTGGGGGGTAAAAAGGGAAAAGCAAAGACAAAAAAGTTGAATGAATATGCCCATTGTTAGATCTTTCTGAACTCTGGAAATTACATTAGCAAGAGGGTTTTAATGCCAATTGTGCAGTTAATTTATTCATGAATTTGCAAGAGGGTGTTAATGATGGATGATTTGGAGATTGACTTTATTATGGAGATGTGGAAAGCATAGGGAACCCAGTCTAGCAAACTCTCTGGAGAGGTTTAAGTTCTCTTGAGATCCTGATGATTCAGTGCTATTTGTGTATACTGTCATCTCCTTGCCAAACACAATTCTAGTCTTAGGTTCTTGCGAGATCATTTTTCTTAGTGAAAATAATGATGCAATGATACCTGACACTTCGATGGCTGAACCTGTGACAGACTGCATAGAACAATTTATTGAAAATCGAGAAGGAAGAAACCACTAATAAAAAAAAAAAGAAAAAAAGAAAAAAAAGAAAAAAGAAATATTTTAGCTATGCATGGTTATTTTGTAATACCGGCGAGTTTTGTTGGCCAAGCTATGAACCTAGGAGCTTAGGCTGTTTAGTTCAGTGGATGTTTATTTCAGACTTCTCATTTCTAATATAGTTTTATGTTGGATGGGGGTTCTCTATTATGTCGAACTTGCTAGATCTTTTAGAATACAACCATGACCTTCTGTGTGTTGCAAAGATTCAATTTGTTACAAAATAAAAACCTGCATATCTACCTACTTTCTCTTTTAAGGTGAAATGCTAAAAGGAGTAATTCATTTTTCTTAGGTAATTTCACTTTGCTGGAAGGAAGGATCTTCTGAAACCGGTCTCAAAGGCATGAAAGAGGTGCGTGTAAATTATTTCAAAATTTACAGCATTCTGAATCTACATATGCATTATTGTTTCTCTGTTAATTGGATAATATTTTATTCTTTCCTGTCATTCTCATTATCAGATTGCAAAAGGATACAAGAAAGGGGAGAGAGTTGGGTTTGCAAAGCTCTCACCAGGGATCGATCTTTACATCTGTCCTCGCAGTGACGCCATAATAACAATTCTTGCAAAATATGGTTTCTTCAAGGGCATGGCAGCAGTTGAGGACAACCGGGACTCAATGATAGGTTGTGTAGTGTGGCGGAGAAACAAAACATCTTCAAATTCTGTTGTGAAGAAACCAGAGAGTAAGAGCAACTCTTCACAGCCTCTAAACTCTCCTTCTGACTCTCCAATGCTTCAAGCTGCAGAAAAACATTTGTCTGTCACGAAACCAACTCAAGCATCTAGTGAGGGTGTGGGGAAAAGTGGTTGTGAAAGCAAGAATGTCAATAACGCCAGCAAAATCCCGATTGAGATCAGTAATTCGTTCTTGGGTCCCAATTCTTTGCTCACTACTTCTTCAGTCCCAGGTGATTCAACATCCACTCCAGTGGGACTTCCAAAACCTGTGGTTGAAACTCATCTAACCTGCTGCTCAGGATCAGAGCAACCCAAAGCATCTGAATTACTGAAAGAAATCACATCTTTGTCTGATGATGATGATCTTCCTGAATATGACTTCACGACTGTGTGTGGAATTTCTCAAACCAATATGAGCAAGCCTTCAGGTACTGTGTTGTTGGACAAGATACCTCTAACTGAAGGAATTAGAAATACTGGTAGGTCAGTGCTGCCAGGAACACCTAATGTATTGGATCATTCGATGCTTCCCAGGCCTCCTTTGAAAAAAATTTGTGAGGGTGAACCCCAGATCCCGGTTTTCCCCAGTAGGGAAGAAAGACAAAGCATTCAGAACAAAGTTACAACTACTCTGGTTGGTGCGGCTACTGTGTTTGCCCCTCCTAAGAATCTTTTTGATGACGATGATGACATGCCTGAATGGTGCCCCCCCGAGCTACGGAGGCAATCATTGGTAGAAACAGTTAGGGCATCAACTACTATGTTCTCTGAACTTCCAAACCCAACTTTCCGAACTTCAGCTCAAGGCCCTCCACGGCCTGGATTCCCTTCTGCTACCTATCAATCGTTTTCTTCCCAAGCTTTCCATCCTACATTTCATTGTCCAACCAAGGGACCACCACCACCACCGGGCAGGCCTCTTGAAAGGGGTCTGAGTTCTTCAATGGGGTTCAACGCTACCTCAATTCTTGGGCCTCCACCCAACTCTGGTGTCAGACTTCCGTTCCATCCAGTTGATAAACGACGTCGGAGGACTTGATATTAAGAACTCTCTCTTTGACCGGGAAGTTCAACTTGTAAATATTCAGGAAGTTGATTGCAGTTTGATGCTTTAGCAGAGTCTCCAAGTGCTCTGATCTTCAATGGTTGTTAAAGTTGTTGCTACATATATGCTGTTCAAGGTGAAACGTTCTTGTTTATCTTTGACCTTTGTGTATAAGGTAACTCTTTGCTGTCACTAGGCAATACAGTTACTGCAGCGTGATACAACTGTAAAGATCTAAGATCTTGTAGTTTGTTAGTTGTTTTATTAATCAGAAACGTAGTAATGTTCAATCTTTAGGCTTCCTTGTTCATCTATCCTGAATGCTCTCATCTTATATTCCAAATCAGTTATGCTTCGAATATGGAAGATTTTCACAGAATAACATATAGATGTTTGACAAAGGTATGGGTCTTAGATAAGTGGGGTCTAGTTTTTATCTCATATATGTATCTCATTCTGTGATTATTTTATACTTGTGTCCCATTCGGTGAAAATCTTTTATGCACTTGGACTTTCTCATTCCAAATTCATGTGGTCAAACACCTCTCCACATTTACATCTAACCTATGTTTGGATTGATGATTTGAAGAGGAATTTGTTGAAAAGAGAAGGAAAAATCAATGAAGTTTAAGGCATTGTTTGGGAATAGGTTTTTTTAGTAATTTTTTGACTTTTGGCTAAAATGTGATGTAAAAAAATTAGTATGTTTGGGATGATTTTTTTGACTTTTTACAAAAAGATGTGCAAAAAGTAGAGAGAAAAATGAATCTTTGACTTTTTGATATGAATTGTTGGCTTTTTAGTTTTTTTAGTAACTTTTTGACTTTTTAGCTAAAAGAGTCACTTGCCAAACGAGACCTAAGTTTATTTCTTTTATTCTATTCCCCACAAATCTTCCTTACAAATTAATGTTTTGCACCCTTATTTCTTATCCCATGTACAGAAGTTATGGTTTTCAAGTTTGGTACTGAACAAATGCTTTGGGTTGTTAGACATTGGGGTGTGGTCTAATAGTCTAATAGTTACACTTTCAGATGTAGTGAGTGGGAGATCAATGGTTCGAATTGATGTAGTAATGAACCTTTTAGTTGTAATCTAATTATACTAAATATATTAACGTTATCTTCGACAAAACAATAAAATAAAAAAATTGCTTTGGGTTGTTTAAAAGTTTTCTCCTTTTGTAATATATGTATATATTCATATAATTTATCATTTATTACGGAGTGTTTCAAAATGTATAAATGCAGACTATATATATATATATGTATGTATGTATGTGTATACTGTGAGGCCAATAAGAGGTGAACCTTTGAGTTAAGAGTCCAATTAAGGTGATCTGATAAAATTAAATAGTGAATTTTGTAATAATTTGTTGGATAAAAAATTTAATGTTGAACTAAAATAAGTTGTTTGATATATGAAAAATGCAATTTGAAAATTATATTTTTAAATTTTTTATTATAATTTTTATATTGTGGTGGTGAGGTGATGGTGGTGGAGAGAGACTGGTTGTTGGTGGGTGTTGGTGTGGTGTGGTAGTGAAATGATGGGGGTTATCCGTGACAACGTTAGCGGTGGTGGTGGTGGTAGCAGTAGTCATGGTGGCAGTAAAAATGACAACAGTGGTGGTTGGTGTTGTAAGATTCTGAATAAACTTGTACATTCAATTGTTCTAATACAAAGATTACTACCAATATATATAGCAATCCTAACCCTAATCTGAAATAGGAAATACAATCAATCTAATATTCACAATCAATTTAAAATACATTTCCATAATTAACATGATGTGCTTACACCCTTGCTCAAACCCAAGGTGTTTTAACAGAAAACACTTATAGTTTGTCAAGAAGAAACTGAAAGCGAACAGTGGTGTGAGTCTTCCTAAAGAAATCAGCAAGTTAGAATGCCAAAGAGATGAAAGGAAGCGAGATGGAGCCACACTGCAGATGCTGACGTACAAAATGACAATCAATCTCAATGTGCTTCGTTCGCTCATAAAAGACAGTGTTATGTGAAATCTAAATAGCATTACGGTTGTCACAGTAAAAAGAGGTTGGAGAAAATTGAAGGACACCCAACTCAGTCAAGAGACAACGAAGCCAAACAATCTCAACAATGGCAGGAGCAATGGCACGGTACTTAGCCTTGGCAGTGGAATGCGCTACAACAGTCTGTTTCTTTTGCCTTCCAAGAAATCAAGGAATCACCAAGAAACATGCAAAAGTCAAAAGTAAACTTGCGATCAGTGACATCATTAGACCAATCAAAATCAGCATAAGCCACCAAGTCCAAAGAGGAAGTAGAAGACAATAGTAAACCCTGAAATATAGTGCCCCAGAGATAGCGAAGAATGTGAACCAAAGCAGCCCAATGGGTAACGCGAGGAGCAGAGAGACAAATTGACTAACCACATGAACAACATAGGCAAGATTAGGATGAGTAATTGTCAGATAGACTAAGCAACCCACGAGCTCTCGATAGAAAGTAGGATCATCCAAAAGAACACCATCAATAGTGTTGAGCTTTACATTAAGCTCAATGGGGTTATCACAAATCTTAGTGTCAGTAAGATCAACACGATGAATAACCTCATTGGCATACTTGGCCTGAGATAGAAAGTAGCCATTGGGAGAAGAAATTACCTCAATACCAAGAAAATACCGCAATTCGCCCAGATCCTTCATTTCAAAGGTGCGGCAAAGATGTTGCTTGACCTCAGATATAGTAGAAGCGTCAGAACTAGTGATGATCATATCATTTACATATAGTAATAATGCAGTAAATCCAGCGGAGGTGTGGAGAAGAAATAAAGCAGAGTCCAGGGCACAAGGATGAAACCTTAAGCTCAATAACAGTAGTCTGAAAACGATCATACTAAGCACAAGGAGACTGCTTCAGACCATACAGAGCACGCCAAAGGTGACAAACCTGTCTAGAGGAATGGTGAAGGCCAGAGGGAGGATTCAAGTAAACCTCCTCAGTGAGATGGCCATTAAGAAAAGCATTCTTAACATCTATCTGATAAAGAGGCCAAGAACGAACAGCAGCAATAGAGATCAAAGCATGAACAGTAGTCATCTTGGCAACAGGAGCAAAAGTTTTCTCATAATTAATACCATACTCCTGTAAGAACCTTTTGCAACTAGACGAGCTTTGTGGCGCTTAAGAGAACAATTAGAATGAGTCTTGACTTTGTAGACCCATTTGTAACCAACCAAATTCTTACCAGCAGACAAAGTAACCAACTCCCAAGTACTAGTTTTTTGTAAAGCAAACAACTCATCCTCTATAGCTTGAACCCAATGAGGATCCTGACAGGCCTCCTTGTAAGACTGAGGTTCTGCAAAAGAGTGAATAACAGACAAAAGGTACGATAGGAAGCAGAAAAACATGTATTAGACCAACCCAACCTATTTGGAAGACGTCGTGCTTGAGTAGGATATTGGTGTATAGTAGGATTAGAGTTGTCAGAAGCAAGATGATTAGCAGTAGAGGTAGAGACAACCGGTGGAGGAGAAGCCTTGCGACGAGAATAGACTAACAACGGAGGAGGAGGAGAAGTGGTCAAAGGTGAAGTAGGAATAGCCTTGGGGAAGTTAGTGGAAAGATACTCAATAGAAGGGTTAGAAGGTGGAGAAGATGAAACAAGCTTAGGAGGAACAGTAGAGATGTACTCATCAGATGGTACCTTAGAAGGAAATGGGTCAATGTGAACCAAATCCTCTTTGGAAATTGGAGCAGTGACAGGAGGAAGCTGAAAGTAAGGTAGACGTTCGAGAAAAGAAACATAACGGGAGACATAAAGATGACGGGAAATAGGGTCGTAACACCGATAGCCTTTTTGAGTAGGATTATAACCCAAAAAGACATATTGGACAAACCGGGCACTAAGTTTGATTTGATCTTTATCAGGAAGAATGACAAAACAAGTAGACCCAAACACATGAAGGAGGAAGTAATTGGAAAGTTGAGAGAACAGAGCCTCATAAGGAGACCAACCAAAAAAAAGGGGAGTAAGCATATGGTTGACAAGAAAAATAGTAGTAAGAACTGCTTCTTTCCAAAACGGAGATGGGACTAAGGCAGAGAGAAGAAGAGACCTAGCTATCTAAAGGAGATGCCGGTATTTACACTCGGCTCAACCATCTGGGGCAAGTGTATCAGTACAAGAAGTTTGGTGAATGGTACCCAAATTGGCCAAATACTCACAGAACTCATTTTTTAAATATTCCCCACCCAAGTCAGACCGTAACGCTTTAATTGTAGACCCAAACTGAGCAGTGATCATAGACTGAAAGGTACGATATATCTGATAGAAATCAAACTTATGAGTCATAAGATAAATCCAAGTGCAACGGGTGCAGTTATCAACAAATGACACATAGTCTGCAGAACCCCGTTTGGTGAGAACAGGAGAACGACCCCAAACATCAGTATGAACTAAAGAAAACGGTATATCAGATAAGGAAGTACTTTTACGAAAATGTAAGGTTGTCATTTTGGCAAGTTTACACCTCCGACACTCAGTAAGTTCACTAGGAGAAACTTTACCCAATATACCAGACTGAGCTAAAGACCGTAAATGGTTAGTAAACAAATGCCCTAATCTAGAATGCCACAAGTAGAAAGGACTAGACAGAGAATCTAACTGAAAAGAGGAAAAGGCAGTCGAAGAGGGGGCCATAGGCAGATGTAGGCTCTTCACCACATAAAGGTCTCTAACTCTGCGGCCAGTCCCAATATGCTGCTTGGATATTCAATCTTGCACAAAATAGATAGAAGAAAAGAAGATAACATCAAAATCGGATGAATCAAGCTGACTGATAGATAATAAACTGACAGATAATTGAGGAACATAAAGAACAGATGGAATAGAGACAATAGACATAGCAGATGGTAAGACAGACCCAACAGATATAACAGACATACCATATCCATTAGCGGCATTAACAGTAATAGGAGAGGGAGAGGGAGTACAATTTTGAAGTAAGAAGAGATTGGGAGTCATATAATGAGAATCACTAGAGTAAAAAATTCAGACAGACGAAGAGATACCTGAAGAAGTCCCAAGCAAATTTGAATGAAGAGAGGAAACAATAGGGGCATACAAGGAGGACTGTGAGGTAGACAATGTATGCTGAAGCTGATTAATCTAAGCTCTCAAGGAAGCCAAGTCAGGATCAGGAGCTGGAACAAATGCAGTAGAACCGACAAAAGCCTGAAAATTACTCAGAGAAGAAGGGCAAAACTGGATCTGAGATTGCTGAGAAGATGAGCCAAACAGACATCCTTTTTTGGAACAGTGATACTTCCAATGGCCCCTCTGATAGTAGAAGGCACACTTATCTAATGCCATCTTGGGCTTTGCAGAAGGCTGAAGCTGATGGGCAAACTATAATAAGCCAAACAGATGTGACCAAACCAATCACGAAGTAGAGGAGAACTCCAAGCCAAACAGATTAGAGAAATAGAGTGAGAAATTAGACCTCGCAATCGCGATCGTGATTAAGCCCAGATCAGAGAGTCACAGATGATGGTGCGATTTCAATGAGAAAACGTGATTCCGAACCATAGTCTGTCGGTGACAGCAACTGTGAGAGAGAGAGAGAGAGAGAGAGAGAGAGAGAGAGAGAACGTGATTTTGAACCAACTCGATTTTGACTTTCAGCTTCAAAGGCGAAATCGAAGAGCAGAAGCTGATGGAGAACCAAATCGGTCGTCGAGCCAGTCGACGACTTCAAGCCAACTGAAGAACCAGACGGAGAGACCAAATTATGCAAAACCCTAGCTACCACGAGATCAACGATCGTGTTGCTCTGATACCATGTAAGATTTTGAATAAACTTGTACATTCAATTGTATTGTGTTACAAAGTAGTCACCAGTTTATATAGCCCTAAGCTATGGCTGAACAAGGAAAGATTCAAAAAGGAAATACGCCTATATGCCTAATTTACGCCTAATTCCTAATATACACAATGCCATATATACACACAATGCCATATATACACAATATATTCTCACAAATTTATAATTCTTGCATACTCTTCTGTATACTTTCATTTTCAGTGTTTTTATTTATTTTTGTTTATTTATTATTGGGTCCTAAATTAGAGTGCTAATCTTCTTGGGTTTGCAGAGAAGTGAGCCTATTGCTTGTCCCATATTCGGCTGATCGTGATTTGGACCTTATCCAGTGGCCTCCATTTTTACTTGCTAGCAAGGTTTTATCTCCTGAGCTACTTTCTTCCCTTGACAGAGGTTCTCGTTAGCTACTTTCTTCCCTTGACTTTGTTTAATAGAGAGACATCTATCCTTTGTGTACTGTGTAGCTTCCCATACTATTGGACATGGCTAAAGATAGCAATGGGAGAGACCGTGAGCTAAAAAAGAGATTGAATTCAGACAATTATATGCTCTGTGCTGTCCGGGAGTGTTATGCTTCATGTAAAAACATTATCCATTTTTTAGTTTTAGGTTTATTATTATTATTATTGTCAGACGGTAGTGTATTAGTAGATTAGATTATTACCACATGTTGATACCATTCCATTAACTTGAATTGGAAATTAAACATTAGTTGAGAATAATGTTAATTCACAGAATTATCTAGTGTAGTAACCAAATGATATCCTGGTACCCCCTGTAAGAATTTTGAATGACTATGTATATTCAATTGTGAATAATACAAAGTGTACAACTGAGTTATATAGAATGAAATAAGAATAAATCAATATTCTTACAATCAATCTAATATTTATACAGTCAATTTGATATATTTACATAATTAACATAATATTTTTACACCCTTGTTCAAACTTAAGGTATTTTAGCAGAAAATATTGAGAGTTTGTCAAGAAGAAACTGAAAGCGAACAGTGGTGTGAGTCTTCCTAAAGAAATCAGCAAGTTAGAATGCCAAAGAGATGAAAGGAAGCAAGATGGAGCCAGACTGCAGATGCTGACGTACAAAATGACAATCAATCTCAATGTGCTTCGTTCGCTCATAAAAGACAGTGTTATGTGAAATAGCACTACGGTTGTCACAGTAAAAAGAGGTTGGAGAAAACTGAAGGACGCCTAACTCAGTCAAGAGACAACGAAGCCAAACAATCTCAGCAATGGCAGGAGCCATAGCACGGTACTTAGCCTTGGCAGTGGAATGCGTAACAACAGTCTGCTTCTTTTGCCTTCCAAGAGATCAAGGAATCACCAAGAAACATGCAAAAGTCAGAAGTAAACTTGCGATCAGTGACATCATTAGACCAATCAAAATCAGCATAAGCCACCAAGTCCAAAGAGGAAGTAGAAGACAATAGTAAATCCTGAAATATAGTGCCCTAGAGATAGCGAAGAATCTGAACCAAAGCAGCCCAATGGGTAACGCGAGGAGCAGAGAGACAAATTGACTAACCACATGAACAACATAGGCAAGATTAGGACGAGTAATCGTCAGATAGACTAAGCAACCCACGAGCTCTCGATAGAAAGTAAGATCATCCAAAAGAACATCATCAGTAGTGTTGAGCTTTACATTAAGCTCAATGGGGTTATCACAAATCTTAGCGTCAGTAAGATCAACACGATGAATAACCTCATTGGCATACTTGGCCTAAGATAGAAAATAGTTATTGGGAGAAGAAACTACCTCAATACCAAGAAAATACCGCAATTCGCCCAGATCCTTCATTTCAAAGGTGCGCCAAAGATGTTGCTTGACCTCAGATATAGTAGAAGCGTCAGAACTAGTGATGATCATATTATTCACATATAGTAATAATGCAGTAAATCCAGCAGAGGTGTGGAGAAGAAATAAAGCAGAGTCCGGGGCACAAGGATGAAACCTTAAGCTCAGTAACAGTAGTCTGAAAACGATCATACTAAGCACGAGGAGACTGCTTCAGACCATACAGAGCACGCCAAAGGTGACAAACCTGTCTAGAGGAATGGTGAAGGCCAGAGGGAGGACTCAAGTAAACCTCCTTAGTGAGATGGCCATTAAGAAAAGCATTCTTAACATCTATCTGATAAAGAAGCCAAGAACGAACAACAGCAATAGAGATCAAAGCATGAACAGTAGTCATCTTGGCAACAGGAGCAAAGGTTTTCTCATAATTAATACCATACTCCTGTAAGAAACCTTTGGCAACTAGACGAGCTTTGTGGCGCTCAAGAAAACAATTAGAATGAGTCTTGATTTTGTAGACCCATTTGTAACCAACCAAATTCTTACCAGCAGGCAAAGTAACCAACTCCCAAGTACTAGTTTTTTGTAAAGCAAACAACTCATCCTCTATAGCTTGAACCCAATGAGGATCCTAACAGGCCTCCTTGTAAGACTGAGGTTCTGCAAAAGAGTGAATAGCAGACAAAAAAGTACGATAGGAAGCAGAAAAACATGTATTAGACCAACCCAACCTGTTTGGAAGACGTCATGCTCGAGTAGGATATTGGTGTATAGTAGGATTAGAGTCATCAGAAGCAAGATGATTAGCAGCAGAGGTAGAGACAACCGGTGGAGGAGAAGCCTTGCGACGAGAATAGACTAACAATGGAGGAGGAGAAGTGGTCAAAGGTGAAGTAGGAATAGCCTTGGGGAAGTCAGTGGAAAGATACTCAATAGAAGGGTTAGAAGGTGGAGAAGATGAAACAAGCTTAGGAGGAACAGTAGAGATGTATTCATCAGATGGTACCTTAGAAGGAAATGGGTCAATGTGAACCAAATCCTCTTTGGAAATTGGAGCAGTGACAAGAGGAAACTGAAAGTAAGGTAGACGTTCGAGAAAAGAAACATAACGGGAGACATAAAGATGACGGGAAATAGAGTCATAACACCGATAGCCTTTTTGAGTAGGACTATAATCCAAAGACATATTGGACAAATCGGGCACTAAGTTTGGTTTGATCTTTATCAGGAAGAATGACAAAACAAGTAGACCCAAACACATGAAGGAGGAAGTAATTGGAAAGTTGAGAGAACAGAGCCTCATAAGGAGACCAACCAAAAAAAAGGGGAGTAAGCATATGGTTGACAAGAAAAACAGTAGTAAGAACTGTTTCTCTCCAAAACGGAGCTGTGACTAAGGCAGAGAGAAGAAGAGACCTAGCTATCTAAAGGAGATGACGGTATTTATACTCGGCTCAACCATTTGGGGCAAGTGTATCAGTACAGGAAGTTTGGTGAATGGTACCCAAATTAGCCAAATACTCACGGAACTCATTTTTTAAATATTCCCCACCCAAGTCAGACTGTAACACTTTAATTGTAGACCCAAACTGAGCAGTGATCATAGACTGAAAGGTACGATATATCTGATAGAAGTCAGACTTATGAGTCATTAGATAAACCCAAGTGCAACGGATGCAGTTATCAACAAATGACACATAGTATGCAGAACCCCCTTTGGTGAGAACAGGAAAACGGCCCCAAACATCAGTATGAACTAAAGAAAACGGTATATTAGATAAGGAAGTACTTTTACGAAAATGTAAGGTTGTCATTTTGGCAAGTTTACACCTCCGATACTCAGTAAGTTCACTATGAGAAACTTTACCCAATATACCAGACTGAGCTAAAGACCGTAAATGGTTAGTAGACAAATGCCCTAATCTAGAATGCCACAAGTAGAAAGGACTAGACAGAGAATCTAACTGAAAAGAGGAAAAGGCAGTCGAAGAGGGGGCCATAGGCAGATGTAGGCTCTTCACCACATAAAGGTCTCTAACTCTACGGCCAGTCCCAATATGCTGTTTGGATATTCAATCTTGCACAAAATAGATAGAAGAAAAGAAGATAACATCAAAATCGGAGGAATCAAGCAGACTGATAGATAATAAACTGACAGATAACTGAGGAACATAAAGAACAGATGGAATAGAGACAATAGACATAGCAGATGGTAAGACAGACCCAACAGATATAACAGACATACCAGACCCATTAGCGGCATTAACAGTAATAGGAGAGGGAAGGGGAGCATAATTTTGAAGTAAGAAGAGATTGGGAGTCATATAATGAGAAACACTAGAGTAAAAAGTTTAGACAGACGAAGAGATACCTGAAGAAGTCCCAAGCAAACTTGAATGAAGAAAAGAAACAATAGGGGCATACAGGGAGGGCTGGGAGGTAGACAATGTATGCTGAAGCTGATTAATCTAAGCTCTCAAGGAAGCCAAGTCAGGATCAGGAGCTAGAACAGATGCAGTAGAACTGACGAAAGCCTGAAAATTACTCGGAGAAGAAGGGCAAAACTGGATCTAAGATTGCTGAGAAGATGAGCCAGACAAACATCCTTTTTTGGAACAGTGATACTTCCAATGGCCCCTCTGATAACAGAAGGCACACTTCTTTAATGCCAATGGCTCCTTCTTGCGCTTTGCAGAAGGTTGAAGCTGATGGGTATCCAGCATCATAATGAACCAAAGCAAAAGAGATAACTAATGGAACAAAGTGTAAAAGCGAAAGACTGGATAAGGCAAACTGTAATAAGCCAAATAGATGTGACCAAACCAATCACGAAGTAGAGGAGAACTCCAAGCCAAACAAATTAGAGAAAGAGAGTGAGAAACTAGCCCTCACAATCGCGATCGCGATTAAGCCCAGATTAGAGAGTCACAGATGATGGTGCGATTTCAGTGAGAAAACATGATTTCGAACCATAGTCTGTCGGTGACAGCAACCGAGAGAGAGAGAGAGAGAGAGCGTGATTCTGAACCAAAGCTTGTTGGCGACCGCAAGCGAGAGAGAGAGATGCGAACCAAAGCTCCAACTCAATTTTGACTTTCAGCTTCCAAGGCGAAATCGAAGAGCAGAAGCTGATGGAGAACCAAATCGGTCGTCGAGCCAGTCGACGACTTCAAGCCAACTGAAGCACCAAACGGAGAGACCAAATTGTGTGAAACCCAAGCCACTATGAGATCAACGATCGTGTTGCTCTGATACCATGTAAGATTCTGAATAAACTTGTAAATTCAATTGTTCTAATACAAAGATTACAACCAATATACATAGTGATTATAACCCTAATCTAAAATAGGAAATACAATCAATCTAATATTCATAATCAATCTAAAATACATTTCCATGATTAATATAATATGCTCACAGGTGTGTGGGTGATGGTGGTGATTGCAAAGTGGTGTAGTCATAATGGTGCATATCTATAAGTAGTTATAAATTCAATCAGTATAAATTAAGTATTTTTCTACTTAGTTTGTTGGAAAAAAAAAAAAAAATACTCTTAGAATTTGACTCTTTTAAAAAAAAACTCTAAGAATTTGACTCTTTAAACAAAATAAAATATGGGTTTTTAATTTTGTCAATTTAAATTCTAATTTTTTAATTTATTTTTAATGTAAACCATTTGTTTATTTTGTTAAGTAAA